CCCCCCCCCCCCACACACACACACACATACACATTAAGAAAATTGTAAGTTTGGGTTTTTGTTACTGATAATTCTAGAGGGAAACTCTATGATGATTTATAAAAGAATGCAGGACAATGTTACCATGGATAGCCGATTCCCCATCCATCAGATTCTGTTCAATGATGGTGCGGTTTTAAGGGTTTTATGCTCTTTGCGTCCATGTCCTCATGTTCCAATGTTTTAAAAACTGACCTAGAGGCTACACCGTTTTTGCCCCGGGTCATTGGTATATTTAATTTATATATTTTTTTAATTTAATTTTAATTTTTTATTTATAAAAATATTAAAAATTGTAATTTGAGACCAAAAAGGAATTTGGAATGGGTTTGTATATGCATTTAAGTCTATTTGGTCTGTGGGAATGGAGGTTTCGAATTGGAATCGGAATTTGGAATGGGTTATTCCGATTCCAACTGTTTGGTTGGGTAGAATTGGAATCTCATTCCCAGTCTCGGTGGAATGGTTTTCCTCCATTTAAGGGAATGGCTAATCCCTCCTCTCTTTGGGAATGAAATCTCATTCCAGCTGACACCAATTCCCATTCTTATTCCTGTCTGAACCGAATAGACTATGGGAATAGATCATTCCGATTCCAATTCCAAAGGATTCCGATTTTGACTGTGAATCAACCAGACCCTTAGTGTGCAACCTGTCATTTGGTCACCAGATTGAATGGGTCAACATGATTTTTTGACTAATTCCCAGATTTTACTAAAACCAGATGATGGATAAATGACACTAGCTTTAGCAGTTTGGAGTAGTTCATCCTGTGTTTTCTGATTTCGACTTCATTTTTGTTTTTTGCTAAAATCAACTTAACACTTCAAATTTAAATCATGATGTGGGAAAAGCAAAACTGCCTGAAGTTTGCAAAAGAATAAAATTGAAGGTGCAATCTGGTAAAGTTTTCATCAGGTTTAAAAAATAATTCAGAAATCTTTAAATTTATGCATTTTTTCCAACTTTAGATTTAAAGGTAACTTTGTCTGTTTGTAATCTGAAATTACAATTTAGGGATACTTTAAAAAATGACAGGGGCACAGATGCAGCCAATCTATAGAGTATAGACTAATGCAACATCAGAAAATAAATGAAAAAAAAATGTAGAAATCTGAAAATCAAATTTTTGTATGGGTGAAATCCCCCCTTTTTTTTAATTATATGCACTTACAACCATGTCAGCAAATGGATCAGAAGTGACGGAAGAGTCGGTGACCGGATTGAACAGACCTGTCCTGTTTATAAAACTCATCCTGCCTTTCAGCACTTTGATCAAGTGGGATAATGGTGCACATTTGTGTCCTTTAATTAATGTATACAAAAAAGAGGGTAATTGTGGGGGAATGGATTTTGTGCTCAGGAAATTATTTAATTTAATGGTGAATAGCTAAATTCAAGAGAAATTTTAAGTTTTGTATTTTAAGATTTCAAAAAAATGTTAAATTTGTGTACATGAAAAATAAAAAAAAAATTATATTTGTATAAATAAAACCATTCCGACCTGCCGGATTCGAACCAGCGACCTAAGGATGTCTATTAGGTCAAATCCAACTACAGTCCTCCGCTCTACCAACTGAGCTAAGGTCGGTTTGAGGAATAATCAGAAATTTAACTATATATACAATAGAAAGGGTTCCAAGGACATGGTTTTTATGAATAATCTAATCAGATGAGACGTTTGACCACATCCAATTGTCCAACGTTCCGTAACAAAGAAAAACAGCAATATAATCTTGGCCCAGATTCAAAAAGAGTCCCACGTGAAGGGTCATTTTTCAACCTTAGGAGTGGTGTCAGAGAGCGTCATCTCATCTCATCTAACCAAATACCAACGCAAACAGTATAGGATTTGAGCGTCATCTCATCTCATTTTTCAAGATAGTTCTCTTTGATGGCTGAATTGAGAGGCTTATTGTTTCATTTCAGTTCAACAAGTCGGCATATTTTATGGTCCATCATGGCCCACTTATCCAATTCATCATGATATATTGCCACATGTGTGGATCATGACATTCAACATGTAAGTCTAGGAAGTTAATGAATTATGATTAAGGATTGATCACATGAACTAATTTGGGTGTCATTTGGGAAGTCTTTTTTAAAGATCTTATGAAAGTTCTGACTTCTGACAGCCAAAAAAATGTAGTGGACTTTTACATAAAGATTTTGGTAATTCATAAATCGTTTGGTTAGAGATGCATCTTTCTATACATTCTTCTGCTTAAAAATAAAACGAAAAAAATTGAAAAACTTTAATTGGAGTTTCTCGAATTTAGCCTAAAATGGGCTTCTTATGTCTTTTCGGAACACAATCTTTCAGCGGTTAAGTCTTCTTCCAACCAAACAAAAAAGGATCAAAACATGGACTGCCGGGTTTATAAACAGCCAATGGCCCACGCAGATAAACATGCCAAATGGAGCGGAGCGGGTTATCTTTTCACATGATTATCAAAACATTGCATAACCAAATCCATAACCTGCCAGAATCAGAATAGAGTGAGATTGTGAGAGGAAGCAATCATATCTATTTAGTTTTTGGAAACATTCTTACTTTGTATCTTTTCACTCCAACTCGTAAAAGGCTTCAAAGACCCATTATTTTCTTTGGGGCATGCATCGGCTTATTTGCCTTTGCATTATTGAGTGCTAAAGCATCACTCAATCACATTCAAAGGTCACCTTGATAGAGAAAAAATAATAATTTGCACCTCCTCCTATTCGTCATCATCTAAGCCTTGTCCCAACTATATGAAATCGGCTATAAGAATCATATGTCGGTCATATGAATTGTATTCTATTTAGTGTCATTTTCATCATTAAATTAATCATCTCTTATTACTTCCACGCAAGTTATTTAATTATTTCTTATTACTTTCATCCAAATTATTTCCCATGTGCTTCCAACTCTTCTAGTCTTTTCATCTATGCACGTGACTAAATCCTCTCTATCTACTTTTTCTCATTTTTCACTTATTGGAACTATTCCTAGGTCTCTTCATATAATTTCATTTCTAATTTATCCTTTTTAGTTTAATTATTCATTTATCTAAGAATTCACATTTCTGCCACACCCTTTTTTTTGGGCATGCTATTTCTTAATTGCCCTACATTTTTGCTCCATACAACATAACTGGTTTTACAATTGTTTTATAAAATTTTCCCTTTACTCGAAGTGGCATTCGCTTACCACATAAGATTCCATATGTGCCATTCCATTTTGCCCATCCTGCTTTAATCTATGAGTGACATCCTCTTCAATCTTAACTTTGTTATGAATTATTGAACCAAGGCAATGGAGGAGGCCACATTGATTTATCTCTTGATCTTCAACCACAGGTCTGCCCTGGTTTGCACTCTTATTATTATTAAATTTATATTGCATGTATTGTATTTTAGTTTTGCCTGTTTTTAAACCTCTTGTTTCTAATGCAATTCTTCAAAAACCTAATTTTACATTTAATCTTTTATTAATTTCATCAATTAATATTATACCATCATCAAACCCTCCATGGTACATCCTCTTGAATATGTTTGGTCAACCTATCTATAACTAATGCAAATAAATATAGACCAAGTGCTGAACCTTGGTGAAAAACTTATTGTAATTATAAATTTGCTTCTCTCATCTCTATTATATTCTTATCTATCAAAGGTGTATCATCATCATCTGAGCCTTATCCCAAACTATATGGGAGTGGGCTACATGAATCCTGTTTTGTCATTCCATTCTCTGTTTGGTTCCATATCCATTGTTGAATTATTAGCTTTGAAATCTATTAAAGGTGCATAATTACTTGTTTTTCTGTACAAATTTGCCATGTACAGTGAGATCCATTATCTCTTAGGTGGACAACGTTATCTTCATTAGCTTGCTTACCTGTATTGCAACAAACTCTGAAAAATCAACTCAAATAGGCTTTCAACTAAGCATGATTCTGTCTAACCCTCCAACTTATGACACAGAACTCAGATGAGTTTTGCATTAAGTTGCGATCCATGCCGATCTATATTCAGTTTATGGGCTCAATTGAATTCAAACTCTTGTTTCAGATCATCAAACAGTTTTGGTATCGGAGAAGAAGCTGGATATTTACTTTTCTGTTAGTGGTCTGTCATCATATAACATCAAACGGAAACCCTGTCTTCAATCAACTATTTACTTTGAAGATAAGTTGCTTTGAAAGGACTGAAACTTTTGAAAAAGTGCAGAAACAAACTTGAGTTGCTTCTGTATACAAATTTCAGAACGCTTTTCTTTTTTGAATCTCCAGCTTTGAGGCATTCAATCATTGCAGCAGCAGAAAACTGCATCAATCAATTCATGGCCATCCAATCACCTGCAGTGTTGCATTAGGTACAAAGTACACTGAATAATTCACCAATTAATGGAGATCTAGGATCACCTATTAGAACCAATTCTTGCACTGAACTCAGGGTCTGAAGATGAGAATAGATATGTAGTTAATTGGTTTAATGTGGTGCCGTACAATAATTTCTCTTAAAGAAACAAAAATGGGGGAATAGTTGGGCACTTTCCTTTTGTTCTTTAGGCTGGTGCTGGGCTCCTTTCAGTTCACAATGGGCTTGCTCAATAATGCTCTACTATCTACTAGGGGTGTGTGTGTGTGTTTTTTATTACTATTAATACTATGATTTGTAGTATTGGATAACAAATCATCTCTCCAATACAGAAAAGAAAATTGTGGGAAACCTTGATGTTCAGCCAAAAATCAATTTTTTTTTTTGGTTGTTCATCAAGAGAAAACTTCTCAGAAGGAAAAAAATTGAGTGATGGAGGGTGGAAGATTGACCCCACTTACCCTTGTTGTTGAATTGATGATGAAATGGAAATTCATCTCTTCATACATTGCATAGTAGATTGGTAGCCAAACAAGTTTGGAGCTTTATTGACCAAGACTTAACTCTATTGGTATCCCAAGGAAAATGAAAACGTAACCAGATGGTAATTTTATCAAGTTTGGTGGAAGGAGGTTGGCACCAACACCATATCAGAGTAGTGGAGGTGTGGGATGCAAAGGAAGCAGCAACAATGGCGATTGAACTCAACTATGATGAGATTATTATTGAAGGATGAGTGATAGAGGGTGGAATTTGTTGTCAAATTGATGATGAAATGTAAACTCATGCTTGGTGGCAAACAAGTTTAGAGCTTAATTGACCAAGACTCCATTGGTCCCAAAGATGATGAATAAGTAACCAGATGGTAACTTCATCAAGTTTGGTAATTGGTACTAGGAGGATTGGCACCAACGCCATCAGTGTAGCGGAAGCTTGGTCTGCAAAGGAGGCAACGGCAATGGCGATCGAACTCAACTACAATGATGAGACTGTTATTGAAGGAGACTCAAAGCTGGTAGTGCACTGCATCAACAAAACGATAAGACCACCTCGGATGATTGCAAATATCATAAGGGACATCTGGGTCCCCTTTGAGTAGCACAAAGCAATTACTTTAACACTGGCTCGGATCTGCTACCCATGAGCTGTTCCCACATCTCTATCCACGATCTGCTACCCCATCTCATTCATGGAGAGACATGTTCCTAACACACAGTGGTGGTGCTCTATGAGTTGGGATGTGGGAACAACTTGTGGGTAGCAGATCCCGAGTGCTTTAACACAAGTTCAGATCTCTTGCCTACGAAAACTCTGCCCACGTTTATCACAGCCACACATGGAGAACATCTCATCCTCTGCATAATATTATGTAGGGGAGATGTTCCCAATTCACGTGGGGTAGTGAACTGTGGGTAGGCTGGGCAGGAGATCCGAAGTCCTTTAACACATCTTTAGAGAGGCAAATGTGATCACAGGCTTCCAGGCAAACATGGGCCACACCACTAATGAATTGGGTTAGAGTTGAGGGCTTTAATTGTGATATTGAGAGACATAGACCAGAGGATCTGTGGGGCTACACCACTCCTCCATTGTATTAGTGATTCCTTTCCTCATTGTACCAAAAAAGAGAAAGCTAAGGCCCTGTTTGGCAATGTTTCCATTTGTTATTGTTCTGTTAGAAATTCTTGTTCCAGAAGAATTTTTTTTCTTGCTCTTCAAGAGTAATAGATACGTTTGACAATTTGTTCTTCGAGAATGAATTTTTCTATAGGAACAAAAATAGCGTTTGGATAATGAAACTATGTTTTAACATTAGTTTTGCAAATTCACCCACATTAAGCCTAAAATTAACCATAAAAAGCATGTGTCATTGTCATAGTGATGTCTTCATGTTGTCACCACCTAATCCTTGATCACTTGAGGATCAAAACAAAACATACAAGCAATAAAACAAAAGCGCAGCATGCCATGATGCAACAACACCCGCAAGTAGTAATGGCTACAAATCGATCCCTATTTCGTGCAATCGGTTCTTTTCGCACTTTAACATGTTTGCCACCATCACGGGATATGAATTGGTCTACCCAAATGAAATCATTTTCGTGTGCCTGCTTATAAAAAAAAAAAAAAAAAAAAAAAAACTATTATTAAAAACCTAAAATATTTCATAACAAAAACATATAACTGATAAGAGATGTACCACTCCAATAGGGCATCGATAGAACCATTGTCCATAATTTCTTTCCATTTTTGCCATAAACATATGCATTCGGCTACATCCATAAGCACAAATTGGGCATTGATGTACCACTCCAATAGTTTCCCTATGTTTTCATTCATATAGATCTGCTAATTCCTTTCTTATTTTATTTATTTTTATTTTTTTTCAAATTTAAAATGTTCGTCCTGCGTCAAATTGGTAACATAATACATAACAAAAGCCATAACAATCCACCACATGGGCAAATGTTCATAACACATAAGAAAGGATAATCTTCATGATATTCAACATATAACAAAAGACATAACAAAACATAACGATAGGATTAGAGAAAAAACCCCACCCATTCGGCATAACATATAACCATCGATGGGATTAGAGAATAAACCACACCCATTCGCCATAACATATAACAAATGCAAACAAAATGATATAAGAAAAACGATTTTAGATTGCATCATTTAGAGGTTGTTTAAAATTCATCTTTGTAGTGGGAGCAAAAACGATTTCAGGTGAATTTGGTCGGAGAAAAGGTGAATTTAAAACAGAGCACATGATACAAAACTAGGTACGGTGACGAGACAATATACCTATTGATGCGTTCTTGGCCAGAAATGTCGTCAATGCTTTTTATCGTTCGCTCATTGTCCGGTTGGAGCCAAGGGAGTCCCTCCTTCCTCTGAGATTTGTAGCGACAAGTTGGAGGAGTTCACTGTGAACGAAAATGTTTGATAGGACTTCTTTCTAGCATTTAGTACAAAATACCCAAAATACCCCTTCTCTCACAAGGGAATCGTTAGCACGTGTTCATTAATGGGGGTTAACGTTGTGGGAACCACGCATTCCCTAGGAGCACGTTCTTTGGGAGCGTCGGATTTTCACTCCCAAAGAACTCATTTTTTGAGTGTTGTTCTCACATGAGAACACCTTTTTTTTTTTCTTGTACCAAACACATTTCTGCTCCATGAAAACACTAGAAACACACAAAACATTCTCTTAGAACATTGTCAAACAGGGCCTAAATGTATAAATATTGATTGCAAAGTTTATTGCTAAATAGACCTTGGACTTCAGAGTTTGGATAGGCTTTAAGGTCTTGAAAAAATGTGGACCAAAACAGGCCCAATATCATCACTCAGCCTAGATAACCCATGGAGAAGTAGTATTTTGTTACTCAACGTGGTCGCATATAAAAGCTTGACTCGGACGAGTTGTCTGGTGAGGCAACCAGAGTCTTAATTTTAATGTATAGTATAAGTATGATATTTATGGTTAACTATTTTTTTCCTTGTTATCTACGACTCTTAACCAGGTTAATTATTTTTTTCCCTTTAATTGTAAGTCTTCACCTGGGTGGAGACCAGGTTTTCCAACTATGAATTTAGGGTCTGTTTGGAAGGGTCAAGCTGAACATTCAGCCAAGCTGGTTTAGCTGCTTTGAGGTGCTCCGAATAAGTTATTAAAAGATGCTTAAGTGGATGAGTCCGGCGTTCTTCACACCAACCTCAGAATGTTTCAGCTGCATATTGGGAACATCTTCAATACTTGTATGTTATTATTCATAGAGATATTCCTAATACACTGTATGTTATTATTCATAGAGATAGCCCAGAAAATGACTGATTGACAGTCAATTTGGACTCTCCCAATTTTTAACCAAAAATAGCTGGAAGGTTGTTCATATAAGGTCCACCTCAAAAAACCATAAGTTTGTGCTTCAATCCTCCCAAACGGACACTTAAACATGAACTGGGCCTTAAGACAAACTGAAGCTGCAATCTTTTTATTTAATGCCGGTCATGCAAAAAATTAAAAAGGTCATTAACTGTTAGGGGGCATTCATTTTTTTTTTTTTTTAGAGGGGGGAAGTTGATCAATGGGATTTTGGTTCCCATTGACCAAAATACCCATGTTCTTTTTTCAAATTTATGTGGGGTTCATGAAAAATTTATTTTCCTTAGGTGTACTTAGGTGGTAAGTAGTTTTTCCACTTAGGGGGAAAGTTGCCAATACTTGGATGGAACAAATTTACCCTTTTTAATAATAAATTTTCATGGCTAAAACAATCATTGTCTTATTAACCCGGAAAATAAAAGAACATGGGTAAATACATTTATCCGGATAAGTGATTCCCATAAAACACTTACCTGGGTAAATGCATTTAACCGGATAAATAACTTCCCAAAAAATGAACAGAGCCTTAATCTTAACTATCTGTTTTTGGACTTAAAACAGAATTAACCTTATATGTTGAAAATGAATATAACATATTATTGCAATTTTGGGGGTTATTGAAATTCAACAACTAAGCATATGACAGAACTAATACAGAAGTTCTCAGGGTTGTGTTGATTGATTAGATCGATTTGGTGGCATGTTTTACAGATATTTAGATGAGATTGGTAGTTTCCAATTAAATATTAATTGACAAACATGTTAGCTCTTAAGTTTTAACAAAAAATAATACATCAAAAGAGCAAGTCGGGTAGGAAAAGAAATGAACATTATGAACTGAGAGGTTGTGGTACAAAACTTGAATTGGGTAACTTTGTTTTTGATAATTTAAATGGAACTGACTGACCTACAGATCATTTACAAACACTGAATTTGTTCTTCGAAGGAGTCTTTGGTGAGAAACTGATATCATAGCCATGCCTATTCTATTGCCTTCGACCATAGAAGGGTCAAGCCATGTTCCCCAGGGAGCTGAACCAACCTTCTTTCATGGAAATTATCAAAAGAAAAAACTATCTTTTTTGGCAACAAAAAAAACAAACACAACATAAAATAATAATAATATGAGACTTATTTAATTTAGAAAATGACAAGCAAATACATTCACTCAACCCCATCTCTTTAATGGCATCACCCCTTCTCCCTTATTCTCTCGTACTCTCTTTCTCTTTTCTCTCTCCACAGTAACACACGACGATGAATTCTATCTAATGTACAACAACAGAAAGAACAAACAATAACAAAAAGTTTGAAATCTTGGAGACTTGGACGCTCAGCTACCCTTACATCCATCCAAGGTTGGCAAATGGGACCCATCTCAAGACACCCCAAGAACTTAGACTAAAGAGAAGTAGTAAAAATTGAGTGACTTGTTGTGTATGTGTGTGGTCTGTCTCTGTGTTGGCAGAGACTGGACAAGTAGTGCTGCAGCTGGGAAGTTGATCGGTTGATGATGAAATGATGAATCAAAATCAAAGATAACACTCAGGTGTGAGAGAGTGTTCTCTCTTTGGGTCCTTGCAGTAGTCATACACCAGGTGGTACCTCTGGACCCATCTCATAGCCCAGTACTGTCGACGGCTCAGGCCACCGGAGGGGTAGGGCGAGGCCGAGACTGGGCGGCACCGGGCCGGGGCGTAGGCGGAGCAACCGCTGGCTTTGAAATTGGTGTACCAACCGACGAAGGGTTGGTAGTGATAATCTGCCTTGTATTTCCCATCCTCCGTGGCCCACGACGAGGCGTCCCATATGGACCCATACAGCCACATTGGTCTCAATGGGAACGTTGCATCGCTCTTCCTCGGGTACCTTCTGATGGGCACATCGTCCACAAAGAATCTGAACAACCCACACAATCATCAATCGACACAAGTACTGATTAGCCACCTACCCAACCCACCATTATTTTATTTTCTGGGTCTGTGCAGATCGGAGAAATGCTGCTGCCTGCTGGGTGGTTGCTAACCCTACAATCAACTAGTGGCTGTAAAAGTTACTACTTGCTCTTACATCAAACACATGGTGGACCATCTTCAGTTTTACCTGTTGAGCAGGTGGAAACCTGGGAGCTTTATCGTTTTGTGTGCCCTTCCCAAATTCCAATCCCCACCTGCCCAACGGGTAACCTAGGGTTGCCTGCCACGTGTCTTGCATTGGATGGTGGACATTTTGTTTCTCTTTTTCTTTTTCAGTGCCAGCAGACAAACTGATATATTATTATTTTTTAATAAATCAAACAAGAGATGTAATGTACCTTAATTTTTTTCTATGAAAAGATCATTCATTTATTTTCCTCTGTTATTTTACCCCTTAAAGGTCCCAACTCCCAAACACAGAAATTTCAAGAAAATAAGAATTGACTGAGAGGTCTATACTTTATGCTTTATAGTTTATACTTCAATAATTAGTCTCTGCTCTTAATTGGTGTAAGAGTCCTTGTCATGGTGATTATTAACTGTGTTTTGCAGACGAATTAAACCAAACCCAAAGCTGCAGTAAATCTATGCTCTGTTCACACCAGGTTCCACTAGTCAGTACTACTCAATGGATGCAGATAGTGAGTGGGGTGCTACTTACATGATGTCTTTGGGGCTCCACAGTATGGCATAATGATGAAAATCTTGGGTTGGATCAAACCATAGATGAAACTTCATCTCTCTTCCTATAATCCTCCCATCTCCACTCCCTCTAATGTAGACATTAGTCTGCAATGTGTAAGGCTTCCCAAACGTCGTTCCCAGGAATTCTATGTCGACTTCGTCATGGAAGCCGGGATGGGCTTCGTTGTTTGATAGCTGCCATTCCCAGATTCACCAGCAGAAAGGGATTAGCTACAGATAGTATACATGTACATTTAGTTCTATGCGTGTGGGTGGTTTTTCTGTGTCTGTGTCAGGAAGAGAGAAACAGAAAGAGAGTAAAGTTGGTAAACAGTAAAAGAATGATCGCAGATGGCGCATTAATCTCTGTAGCTGTAGTATTCCAGTTCTTACATAGAAAGATGTTATGACTCCTGCAGTGTAACCAGGTTGGAGCTTGATGGAGGCACCGAAATAACCTGATCGAAATGGACGAACTGACTTGAACCCGCTTCCTGTTTCCGGGCATCAAGCAAGAAAAAAAAAGGAAGAAATCTCAGAAACCCAGTAAGAAATGTCAATAGCTAACTCAGAAAAAGCTGGATAATGAACAGAGAAACCAAGTGACCTGAGCTACTATCAAGCCAAATTGTCAATGTGTTCTGGTCTATTCTCATGTGCTGAGGACCCCAGAGGTTTCGAAAGCCATCATAAAAGCGCATAGTCCTGAATCTATGACTTGGGTAGTAGCCAGGTGAAGGTGGCCACTGAGCATTGATTGAGGGAACCATGAGGATGAGGAGAAGAGAGAGAAGTAGCTCCATGAAGAAGAAAGCCAGATGGGGAGAAACTATTGAGAAATAAGCTTAAATGAAGAGAGTAGTGAGAGAGAGAGAGAGAGAGAGAGAGAGAGAGAGAGAGACCAAAAGCAAAGCTGTACATGAAAAAGTAGAGCAGTACAGTCGGTATAAATAAGGAGATTACAGGACCCACCATTCAATGGAGGTGATAAGGGGGTCGATAGGGAGTCATGCATGAAGACAAAATCAAACGGGCAAATTACTGATAATAAAAACAGAGTGAAAAAGAAATCTGGGTCTCCATCTCTCTCTCTCTCTCCAAATTCATTGACAAAGTAATAAGTACTTGGGCTAGTTTGCTTTTTTATCTCAAATCCTCCAGCACAGTGAATTTTCTTCCTCTTTATTACAGAACTTTGTTAAGACACGGTTGCTTGGCTGGGAGGAAAAGAAGAGGAGACACAGAGAGGTGGATGAGTGTCTCTTTAATGTGTTCTATGCGTTTCTGTGACTCCACAGTGAGTTGGACTCTCTTGGTGCTCAAGTAGATCTCACGGGTGCACCACCATGGAGGCATGAACACAGAAAGGAAAAGGTGGGTGTGCCTTTAATGTAAGTGTTGCATGTGTGTTTTCTGTGACTACACAGGAAATTGGACTTTCTGCTGAAATTGACCTTATCAGACCACCTTTGCATTTCTGTCTGAACCATTAATGCCACAGTACTGGTTACCCATCAGGGTTTTGCCATATCGCACCTTCATGTTTGGTAAAACAGAAATCGGTGAACTGACAGATATATTGCGTTTGCCGCTGGTCGCATATGGGTCAGATTCCGATGATGATCGGTATCATAACTGCAATGGAGTCATCTGCAATTCAGCACTGTAATGTGTATCAATGGTGTCTGAAACTTCAGATGCATTAGTAGTTGGGTTGTGTCTGTGATACAGTAAAATATAGCCTGTTTTGTTTGATAACTTGTCTCTTGCAGAGCTCATGAAGATTGGTTTTGTTTTTGCTTTTTTCTTTTGATGAGAAATTAACGTTACTCGGTAAGTCATTACTTTATCAATTGTAAATTGCAATTGAATTGACTTACCATCCATTAATCAAACCCATTTTCAACGTTACTCGGTAAGTCATTACTTTATCAATTGTAAATTGCAATTGAATTGACTTACCATCCATTAATCAAACCCATTTTCCTCTAACTGCCTGAGGATTAAACAAATAAATGAAGTGTTGATCCGTTGGATGGATTCTGCTGAAACCCAACAGTTTTGGATCAAATCACATTATTATTGACTAGTCTGAATATGTTAGGTCAACCAGATTTTAATCATATACAGTCGACCCTCTTAAACATATCATTCAAACAAGGAGATAGCCACCAATGTTGAAGAATCTTTTGAAGAACTAATTTGATCCATACTATTCATAACTACTAACACCTAATATCTCTAATTAATAATTCACTGATGCCCTACAATCTTATTTATTTATAATTAGAATAGGTTTGTATATACTAACAAATTAATATCATCTAAAATATAGAATATCAATCATCTAGAGAACCCATGCTCTTCCTAGATATCAATTGGTATCTATCTATCCATACCCCCCAAACCACAGACACAGTTCACCAAAAACTGAAAAAAAAAAACCATAGACAGAATGCTTAGAAGGGGGTTAACTAATTAACCCAATAGCTCTGTTGATTCGTAGTTTATGTATCCCACAATTTTCATTTAACAGAGACTCAGCACATCACAAACAAAAAGAGATTATAATCACGTATAGATTTTCAAATTGTGAATCTGTGGGGCTGAGGAAACTCTACTACCAGAACCAATAGCTGCATTTGTGGTACAGGTTCTTGTAAACAGTATCCACTGTTCAGATGGGTCCCCTATGCAAAATCTAAGCTGATTGGTTGACAAAAGCCCGTATGTTGTCCTAGAAAAAACAAATAGTGAAAGCCCACAAAATAGTACATTGATGATAAAGTATGAATTTTCCAGAATGGGTGGTTTTTGTTCCTAAGAGTAAACAGAATTCAACCCCTTAGGTTCTTCTGAAAAATAGCAATGAGGATCATCAAAATCACTGGTTCTTTCCCTCTAGGCTGTGGGCCCCCTATAAGGCTATATCTTGCATGATTGATTGATAAACAATCAGATCTACACTACACTCTCATTGATGATCTAATTAATGTATAGAACTATAGATGATGTACATTGATTTTCTTCTTTTTAGTTGATGCTACCCAACAACTTACCTGGAGTTTTGTCTCTTTTATCTCTTGCCTGGCAGAAGGAAATCCATTCTTCTTTACATATACAATCTTCTTCCTCTTTCTATGTCTCTAAAATCTTGACCCAATATTTGATCTAGCTCTTAACCACTAGATCTTCCATAACCTGGAATCAGATTATTTGTCCCTCTAACAGGGGGACAATACAAGGGTACACATAAACCCTAACTATCAGTGTAGGACTTCTTTTGATTGAGAAAACTCAGTGAAAGCTTTACTTAATTACTCTAAAAAATGAGTCTTTTACCTGCTCTGCTCTTCCCACTATAAGGTACAAGAGGATTCACCCATGTTTTGGTTGTAATAGGTTATCATACCGTACAAAGTGTCTCAACCACTGCCATTGAGTATATATATATATATATTGATTTTGTAGGCCATGACCACCCATGAGCCCATGATTCTGAATTCCATTGCTTTCTTCCTTTTTTCTTGTTTATTATCTTATTGATTTGGGCACTTCCCATTTTTGAAAAGGAGGCTCACCCCTAACCATGGCTCCATGAGTAGAACAAAAACAACCCCATTTACAAACAATGATTCATTTGTATTTTCACACTAGGGATTTGTCCTGTTAACCAAAAAATGGAACATGGCAAATGGGGTTGTTTTTGTATTTTCACCCATGACTCTGAATTCCATTGCTTTCTTCCCTTTTCTTGTTTATTATATTATTGATTTGGGCACTTCCCATTTTTAACAAGGGAGCTCACCCCTAACCATGACTCCATGAGTAGAACAAAAACAACCCCATTCACAAACAATGATTCATTTGTATTTTCACACTAGGGAATTGCCCTGTTAACCAAAAATGGACCCTGCCCAAATAAGTCCCTTTTCATCATCCAGTAGAGTTGTAGTTGAACAGAGAACTCTGCAACTGCTGCCCATTTGGAAACTCCTAGCAACCTTTGGAAAAGACATTCGTGCCACCAATAATTTGGGTGTTAGGGAATCCAAATTTGGCCATTTTAGAGAGAGAGAGGTTAGTGGTTTGTTTTCGTCCTCTTGAATCACTTTCCTGTGAAAACTAGATGCTAGGAACTTGTAAAGAGAGCCTCTTTTGTAGACCAAATTTGGACAGGATGGATTGTACTGTAGTGTCGGCTACTGCAGTATTGCCCATATGACGACAATTGATGATCTGAATGGGCCGGTTGGGCTGACAATTTAGGAAGCTCATATGACGTTTACGTGAGTAAAAAATTTTCAAAAAGTCCATTTAGGGATGGCCCATGTGGGCAACCACCCAAGTTATGTGCCACAGGATTCCTATTATTTGAAGCTCAATATTGAATGGATGAAACCCAAATTCGTATCCAATCGTTAGCCCATAAATTTTTTTTTTCTCTATTTTATTCTATCTTTTGATGTCAGAAGGATCTCTGAAAAGAGAGACGAGATACGGGCTGGTTCATGACGATCCTCCAAATCAGAAAAATCACAATTATGTATGGCAATAAGCTTTATCTTAATGACGTTTTCATTTAGAGCATATATTCCATAGTGGGTATTTTGCTATTAGTTATTATATATTTGAATTGCAAGAAGCCAAAAGCAATTACAAATTTGTAATTCAAATTTCAAAATTGGTATGCCATAAGGCCCAAACAAAGACTCTCAGAAGCAATTACAATTTTTTTAGCAAACGAAATGTGTGAAATTTCCAAATGTGTAATTTGTGTGATTTTTTTTTTTGTTTTTTTTTTTATATTACATAGTACACATTAGAGCAAGGTGCGTGTGAGGTCCATTGTCCTTTAACATGGAGAACCTACAGTTACGCGGCTTTGACCCCATGCCTCCATTTTGGGAGGGATACCAAGTGACCATCTCAGCTACTAGATCACCGACTTTGATATATCACCTTTTGAACATTTTTTCTTAGCAACCTATAGTCTTTGATATATCACCTTATGAGCTCTGTTTTGTTCAATACTTTTAATACGATGAATGAGATGTTCTGTTAATATAAAGTACAATAATGGTGTCTCCAAACATATATATATATATATATAGATATAAAGTACAATGATGTTGTCTCCAAACATATATATAATATATAGATATAGATAGATAGATAGATAGATAGATAGAAAGAGAGAGAAAGAAAGAAAAAGAGATTATAATTGATGTTTTTATTCTATCTATTCCCCAAAAATATCTACTGACCCTTTAATCCATACATATATCCATCTACATATGGGTTTTGGTTCTGCATTATATGCCCCGATTGTAATTAGGTTAGGATCAATTTTGATTGTTCTACACAAATCAATTATATTAGGTCATATGGATCTTATCGGGTCAAACCCGATAGTCTTAATTAATAATTGGGTCAGTTTTGGGTCTATCATTGGTTTATGGTTGGGCCTGTCCTGACCTAAATCAGACCTGACCCGTTCACAACGGTACCCCAAAGTCTCTACTAATATCTACTGACCCTCTAACGATCTAACCCATACTATTGAGGTACCAAACAGGATAAACATACAGATTTTGATATATATATATATATATATATATATATATATATATATATATATATATATATTCAAGTAGTAAAGTCGCCTTCATCCTTTGTGTCAAATTTACAAACATTGCTTTCACTCCTAATCAAAATAATTCATTTTGTAACAGCACTCAGATACCCTTTCATTTCTACAATATTTTGAGTTATTGACCCTTTACACACTAAGCGTCAGACATGGCGGCTTTTGCTTTATCAGCTGCAATGTTTTAAAAAATGATTTGGAATTGGAATTGTTTTGGCCATTGGTTTTTGGACCAACGATTTGATTGTCCGGTTTGAAT